GTTTTCTATAGACTTATAATCCTGTCTAATGACAAGCTTTATTTGAACATCAAAAAACTCAATAATTCTGATGATGATACTCTTGAAGGTGAACGTATTGAGAAGATTGTTTTTTATTTTTTTTTCTATAGATCAAAGAAGATTGTTACTATATTCAAATATGTTTGATGATAAACTAATTTAAGTTCGCTAGAATAATTATATCATCATGATCAAATCAAGCATTATCTAATGAAATTACGTAAATTTTTTATTGTAAGTGATATCAAATAGAAATTTAATTAAACTTAGAACAAAAATCAAATTATTTTAAATTAAATTTTTTTGTTGTTGTTTATTTCGAAATGATAATAATATTATTAAGAAGATTTAGTTAAGATTATTATTTTTTTGATAAACAATTTTCGAAATTTTAAAAATCATTTAACAAATGTCAAGTGTTGTTTTTAAACACTTCTTTTTTTTTGTTTTACTAATTGATTTTGTAAATGTAAATAAAATTTTTCAAGATTTCGTTAGAATAAAAAGAACTAAACTAAAAAGCTTACGACACTCGGTATTCCCAGGCGGTCACCCATCCAAGTACTAACCGAGCCCGACGTTGCTTAACTTCAGTGATCGGACGAGAACTGGTGTATTCAACGTGGTATGGCCGTAAGCGAATATAACTATACTTTTTTTTACTATCAACAACAATATCATACGGATGAGTTTATCGTTCATTTACTATTCATACGATCTCGAATAATATTTGTCAAGTATTCGAAATAGAGTGATAAGTGATTTGAATGAAATCTAAAATTTTTGTTTTTATTATTCTAACATTGGTTGAGAAAACTAATGCAACTACATAGATGGAGATCACATACTTCACACATTCTGTACAACTGATATAGATAAACTACTTTCCGTTTCAAAATAAAAGGCACCTTACTATTTTTCCAATAAGTTTTGATAGGAGCAAGAGAGAGAGCTACGGTTTTCACCATTCGAAAGAGCAATGTCCGGACCGTTGACCAGTATAAAACTCATTAAGACGAAACTTGCTTTTTTTATAGGGGCTTTTGGATCAACATTTTTTCCTTTGAATATTTTGATCAATTTTGACAATAATCAACTGAAATTATGTCAAAATGTAGCTCAAATCATCCTTTTTTCGCTATAAAATTGACATTTGTTTAAAAAAAAAATCCGCTTAGAATAGGAGGTTGAGAGATACTGAAATGTATGACCATTCTATGTGCGAAAAAAAAGGATAATTTGAGCTACATTTTGACATAGTTTCAATTAAGATTATTGTCAAAATTGATCAAAATATTCAAACGAAAAAATATTGATCCAAAAGTACCTATAAAAAAAGGAAGTCTCGTCTTAATGAGCTTTATACCGGTCGATGATCCTGCGATTGCTCTTTCGATTGGTGAAAACCACAGCTCTCTATCTCGTTCCTATCAAAAGTTATTGTAAAAAATAGTGAGGTGCCTTTTATTTTGAAACAGACAGTAGAATTTTGTTAACAATCAAATAAAGTGAAGAAAAAGTTTAATAATAATGTATTGTCTTTTCTTTTATCTTTTTAGGCTTTCTTACGAAGATTTCATAGATGACCTATAATTCCAAAAAATTTCTAAGAAATTCAACACATTAGTTTGCAGCGCTACGAGCGTATTTTCTTAAACAATACTATTTTAATAAAAACATAGTGAGAGATCGCTGCATTATCTACAATGTTCTCATAAAAAGTTCAGACTATTAGCAAACTGAAAAAAAGAGCATTTTTTTCAAATACCCTTATGTTTTTCCACTAGAGATGTATACAGTACCAAAATTTTTCAGATTCGACTTCTGCTCTAAAAAAAAACAATTCCAGAATCAATTGATACCACATCTGAAATAATTCTTCCATACTCTTATTTTTGATTTATTCAGTTCACAAATGACATTTTATTTTTTGGATCATTTCTCTTGAATTATGTTCTAATTCACATGATTTATGAGATAGTTTGCTAGAAACCGTCAAATATTTAACTATATATTTGAGTTCCTCCAATTCCGACAATGTTTTTCTTGTCGTACTACTAGTTTTCATCTTAACAACTTTTTCTACCCGTAGTTCCGATTTTATATATCTCTATTCTCGAATCAATCAAAGTTTTATTATTTATCTTCGTGCCGCAAGATTCTTGTTGACTTGCTATCAAATATCGACGAACATTTTTTTTTTTTCTTATCATGAACATAGTTTTTATATAGTTATGTTTCTATGTTTTAATAACACTCTTTATAATATATTAAATTTTGTTTATGACAAAAAGAAAAGACGACATATAATATTAATCTATTCTATAAATAAAATAATAGAAGTTCTGAATAGTATTTGACATATTTTATTTAAGCATTTGGTGCAAGCATACGTTGAACAACAGGATCATTTTTACATCTAATTTAAAAAGAAATATGAGTTAAACAAAAAAAAAATAAATCTCAAGATTTCTTACCCTGCAATAAATTCTTGTTTATTTAATTTCTTATCACCACCAACATCTAATTTAGTAATAATTTCTGCAGCACGTTTCTTTGGATCACGATCACCTTTACGATCAGTTTCACCAAGAAGATCATACTAAGAAAATCGAGAACTTATTCAAACAAAAAAAATTAAATAAATATTTTACCATAGCTGATATCATATTAGCCAATTCTTTTTGATCAATTTGTCCATCACCTGATGCATCATACCTTTTAATAAAAAAAAAAAAAAAATTTTATCTAAAATAATATTAATCTTATTAAATTACATTTCAAATGCAACTTCTAGACGATCAGTTAAATTTCCTTGAGATGTAGCAGCAATAGCCAAAAGAAATTCATCAAAATCAATCGTACCATCATTATTAGCATCGAAAGTAGCAAATGCATATCTTACAAAAATGAGAAAAACAAAAGATAAAATTAAAAAAAAAAAAAAAAGGGTTCAAATATTGTTATCTACTTGCAGAAAGCATCAGCTTTTCCTTGTGGATAAAATTGTTTATATACTTCAACAAATTTCTTTTTATCAAGTTTACCATTAGGACAATCACGTAGAAATCCCTTGAGATAAACAAAGAAAAATGATAGTTAATTTGTTAAAATTTGACAAGTACTTACTGCATGCCATTCACGAATTTCTATCAAAGATAAATAAAAGTCAATATATATCCTTTAGATAAAATATTAAGAAATTTTACCTTTTTCAGTAAATTTAGTATTTGCTTTAAGCATAGCAATTTCTATGAGTGAAAAAAAAAAAAAACCTTTGATAAGAAAAGAAATATGAAGTCAAAAATAAAAAAACCTTTTGCTGTAAGTTCAGTCGATGATCGTGATTTTTTACCACTTTTATTACCCATGATTGATAGACTTGTTTTCTTTTTTTGTTAATTTGAATAAAATTCTGAAAGAGAAAATAAAAGCAACGTCGATTAATTTTGTAATAGAATATAATATGTTGTTATCCTTTTTAAGTTCATATCGAATGGCATAATGACAATGTTGAAGCTGGTAATACTTATAGAATAGGAGGAAAAAAAAAACCAAGAGGAAGAATCAGACAAATAGAAATCAAAGAGAATCTAAGAGTTTGTTGCGTGTATGTATACATCGAAGAGATAAAAATAGAGAGAAGAAAGATAAATCAGAGCATTACATCCGCTGTATAATGAAGAAATATGTCTGTAAAAAGACATCGAATGTTGAATCATCAATACAATATTCTCTTTTTTTTTTTTTTTTTCTTCTCTGATTATCTTTTATATTAACAATACCGACAAATTTTGTTTATTATAGAATGTTATGGCAATCTATGTTGATCGAAAAGCCGCAAAAAAATCAGTTTACCAATTGATGAAAGACATGTACGATAGAGAAAAGACAAAATCAACAACATATGTAGTCAATTACTGCATGTAGTGAAAAAGAATTTACATCATTGGAATATCATTGTTATCGAATATGTCTATGAGAAAAAAAAAATTAAATGTTTCTATCCTCTTAACTTTGATTCATGTTAATATATATTCGTCTCTTTAGTCAATTTCCTTCGTACGATTCTTTATTATGTTCTTTTCTTTTTCTATCAGTTATAAACGTTACAAGGTCCTTTTTCTTTTTTTATTCTTTGATTAATGTTTTTCTTATTATTAGACGAGAAAGTGATAAATCATTGAGATAAAGAATCATAAAAAAAGAAGAAGAAGAAGAAATTTTAAGTCGCATTGCCAAACGGAATATATATATATATAAATTTGTAGAATGAACATTAACAGTATTTCTATTATTATTTTTCATTGAAACAACTAAGAAAAACAACACTAATTCACTTTACCCGAATAAATCTGAATAAGAAAAACAAAATCGAATCTGCAAATCAACTGTCATTCTTGTTTGAATATAATAAAAAACAAAAAATTGTTTACACCAGCCACAAACCATTTGCATATACAATTATTTTAGTGTAGTGATCAGAGATCTGTTGAAACCAGATCTAGTTATTGGACAGATAAATGTCATTACGAAAAGAGAGATTGATTTTATTTTTGATTGATTCTTTATTGTTTTTGTTACCTTCCTCGTTTTGATTATCTCTTTTATCATTCAACAACAATTGATTATATTCAATATCGGAAACAAAAATATCATTATTTTCAGAAATAACCTATGCTTATCCATTTTCGACATACTGAATTTTTCATCCTATTTAAAGCTTTAATACTTATTCATTTGATCTTTCATATAATTGATTACATATGTTTTTTCATTAATAAAAAAAAAAAAAACAAAAAAAACTTGATTTATTTCATTTAAGATGTGCGCTTAAGATTAATAAAGATTTATATATAAGTGAATCATTGTTAATCTTTATAAATAAATTGTTTAGCTATCGTTTTATTTTATATTAATAAACTTTCAGCAAGAAAAAAAAAATATAGGAATGCACATGTATGTTTGCACAATAGAGATTAATCATCGCCTAGATCTTCTGGTCTTACAGGATGTGGAATTGGTATTATAGATTTTTTATCAACATCTCTTGATAAAGCTTTTCTCATATCTACAAAAAAGAAAACAAGTAAAAAAAAAATATCATTTCTATTATTATAAAGAAAATTAATTATAATTATACGATACCAAATGCATCTTCATCTCGTTCTCCTGAGTAATAACCAATTATACGTCGATAGACAACATAATTTAATTTGTGATACATATCAACAGCCCGTTTATTTGATACACGAACAAATAAATCAACAAAATATGTTTTTTTCCTATATTCATTTACATAAATCATAATTAAACAAAAATAAAATAACAAACTGTTCTGAAACTTGTTCTAATAATACCATTAGTTGTGATGAAACTCCAATACGACGAAATTCAGGCGCCACTGATAAAGCAGTAACATGACCATGATAATTATCTTGTTTACCTAAATAAGATATGAATTTACTTGGGGGAAACAAAAAAACATATCAATAGATATTTACCTTCAATTTTTCCCATGACTATAATAAAAAAAAAGAGAAAAAAAAGTATTATATTTTACTGCGTCATTTAGGGACTATCATTATCTAGTATTTCATTCTATAGACAACTTCATAAAGTTTTTTCTCAACATGGTTAGATTTTTCAACAAACAATTCGATTGACTTTTCATTGTGACAGAGTGCGAATATACAAACGAAAAATGTTCTTATAATAGAATGAAACGTTCGAAACTAATTTCAAAATGTATAAATCTTTCTTAGTAATCTCTAGGTGATAGTTAGACGACAATTTTTTTTTGTTGTTTCAGAATTTGATAGAATTTTTAGAAAAACCGATTTTTAAGTCTAAGGTTAGAGAGATATTCATTAATTTTAAGTATATCACGTTTTGTCTGAAATGACTCATATATATATATATATATCAAAGAATCGACATTTAGTCTGTGATGTTCGATTGAAATATACAACTAAGTAGTATGAACAATTTTACTAATACAAATTAGTATTCTTCAAAAGAAAATTTTAGTTTGTATGAATTCATTTCTATACATAATATCTGTAAAAAAAAAAGAAAGTAAATAAACTTACTATATCCCATTAGTCTGTGAGCAGAATTTTCTGCAATAAAAAAACAATCAGGCCATCTTGCCAAATAATGTAAATAGAATGAAAGACCATACTAAAGATTATTAAACGAACTTCCATATATTTATCTTTATTTTTTATTTACAAACCTACGTTTTCTGTGAAAATATCTAAATTACTAAAAATCAAACGAATAACTAACAATATTCATTGATAAAATAATATCTTTCATTGTACTTACACATTATTGATTCGTAAAAGATCTTTTATTTTAAATTGACGAACTGATGTCATGTTTATACTTTAAATAAGAAAATTGATCTAAAAAGAAAACAAATATTTGTGCGAATTATCAAATCTTCAGAAAAATGATTAAGAATGTATTTGTTATATATACAGAATATTTCAATAGATAGTACACGACAAACATTTTATCTATTCAAAACACTATTAAAACAATAATCTTTATTGCCATATTTTTTTGTATTCCTACCAAATGAATGATCCTTGTTACTAAGCATCAATAATGAATAATATTTAGAAATACTTTTTGAATTACTTTTCGTAAACCTATAGAAATACGAATACATCGTGATGGTTTTTCATGATAGCATTTAAGTACTGACGAACAATAATTTCATGCATTGGAAACAAAAAAATAAATACTAATCATATGTAAAAAAAAAACAGTGGTATACAACCAATAATATCAAAATCGAATACCTATGAAGTAATAAATAAATATCTATCATTTGCAATGGTAAAAAATGTACCACTCATTTTTAATCATGGAGGCTACATAAAAATGATCGTTTTTTATTGCTAGATAGATGTCAGTTTTGATTCATGTATTTGTCTTCGACTCTGTTTGTTCTGTTCTGTTTATTCTGTCTACCTTCCACCTCTTCTCGAAGTTTTAAAGATGTGCAATACGTATGGAAACTTGTAAAACTTCATCAGAAAATATTAGAGTAAAAGACGCTTTGTTCAGTGCCAAAAGAATCACTAATTCATTTTTTTTTTCGCATGATAATTTAAGTAATATATAATAAAATTGGATTTACCGTTATTTCGGTAACATATTCATAATAACGCTGCATATGGCTACTCTGAACAAAAGATGGAACTTCTAGCAAAATAGGAGATAAACGATTTTCTACAGGTATTTTTTTTTTACAGAATTTTCGATAAATATATCGAGAACACATCTGACTACTTTTCAGTGTTTTTTTTTCGCAGAATGATAAAAAAATACAAAAGTTATGAGCTTTCAAACTTCAATTTTTGAGCAATTGTTTAAAATAACCCCTATCTATTCTAGTTTTTCAAGTCAATCTATAAACATTATAATCAGTGTTGAATGTCATTTAGAAAATATAACTGAAGGACAATGTGTTCTGAATTTTTACGTTCCAATCATGCACTTCTTTAAATTAATGGACAAAAGAGTTACATTCTTGTAATTCGACATTTAACCT